AATTTTTGCCCACGAATTACGGGCCGTTGTCGATGACGATGGATTAAAAGATGCCAAATCGACAAATGATACTCCTTCATATGAAGCGCTCTATGTCCGCCTGAACCATGATCGTCATAGGCTCTGCTTCTACTTTTTTGGTGAAGTAGTCGGTTACCACGATTATCATGCCTTTGCCCCTGGTAGTCTGGCTGGTGATTAGTTAGGACTCGGAATGAATGGAAAGCTTTTTCACCACCAAGTCTTTTGTCATTCGAAGGCCTGCTAATGGGGTTTCGTACTCTGCTTCGTTGTTAGATGCTTTGAAGTTTAGAGTGATCGCCTGCTTAAGCATTGAAACGTCTGGGGTGGCAAGAACCACGACTGCTCACGAGCCTTCGTAGTTGGATGCGCCGTTGACATGCAAACGCCAGAAATCTCCATTGAGGGAGCAGGTATGGCTAAAGTGTGCTCGGCTGCCTTCGGGGCGTCGTTGGGCCGAGTTTTTGCGTTCGTCAGAAAACTTTGCATCTGCCAGGGTCTACATCTATTCGCATGCCAGTTCGTGCACGCCATTTATCGTCGCCGGCGTTTTGGATTCGGCAGAATAGTGCGTCATGATGATGACTGCTTGCATTTGAAGGTAAAACTTAAGCTTTTGGGTTACAACAATTATCGCCAAAGTTAGCTTTTGAATTTTTAATAGCATCGATGAGAGCTTTTGAACTGTAGAATACAGGTAGTCGGGCCTCCAGCTCTTCTCGCATGATGGTAGAGCTTATTGCTACTTTAGATACCGTCAAACATGCGAATAAGTCATCCGCTGCTTCTAGGGAGGTGATGTCGGGTACTTCTTCAAATTCTTGAATGTGCATTGGCGAGCCTTATCCCAAAGTGCATGCTTCTCTGCCAAAGTAAAAGAGTCTGCTAGAGTTAGATCTTCTTTCATGATCAATTTTCCGAATAGCGGGTGGTCTGCTGGAAGCCTTTTTAGAAGGCTGCTCTAGCTATCGAGTCGTTGCATCCGACTATTTTTACCTTTTCTACTTTGAACCTCCTCACATAGTCGCGAGGCGATTCCTTTGGGTTCTTCTTGACGTCAAACAAATGGTCAGACTTCTTTTTGATCGAGCGATAAGATGAATATTCTTTGGTGAAAACCAAAGAAAGTTCGTAGAAATTCTGGATGGATTGTGGCGGCAGGGTGTAGAACCAATCTTGCGCCTCACCTTGTAGAGTGGTGGCGAATATCTTGCATATGAGATCATCGTTGTATCGATAAAGGATCATTGCGCTTCGGTAGCGCTTTAAGTGTCTCTTCGGGTCTTCAACCCCTTTGAAAGATGTGAAATGTGGCATGCTGAACTCGCGTGGAGGCTCTGCCTGCTCGATCTCATCCGTGAAGGGTGACCTGCTTATGTTGGTCATGTTTCGTCGTAGTGCCTCGTCGGTGACCTCGTTGCGTTGGAAATCATGCAATCGCTTGGTCAATAGTCTCTCTACTTTTTCCTGAATGTGCCTTTGTTGGGGTAGCGGAGCTCTCAGTTGCCCCCAGCCATGACTTGCTGGTCTAGGCTGCTCTTCCATGTGTTTGGCTCGTCTATGCCGCTGATGCAGTGCATGTGGTGCGTTCCTAGCAGGCGAACGAGTTCTTCGCAGGCTGCTAGTTGAACTTGAGCTGGATTGAGTGACTGTTTCTCTCCGTCCGTCGTGCTGCCTACTCTGATGTGAGGTGGATGATGCTCCTTGTGGGCTTAGCCGCAAATGGACAATTTGTCTGAAAGGTTGCTCATGTTGACTATCGGAGTATGACCTCAACCGTGAATGTATGCTCATCAGTGGGCCTAGTCGAGAGTGTATGTTCCTCTGTGCGCTAAGATTGGAATGTACACTGCTCAAATGTTCGGCTTGTGGCTGGTCGAGTGGCTGCTTACTGGGACGCTGCTGGAAAAGTCCGTCTGCCCTTGTCCTACTTCGGGATACCTCGTCTGGGGCACGTTGGATCCTGATGCATTGCAAAAGTTGATTCACCAAGGTTGTTTGTTGTGCAAGGGCGCTCGTCAACTCTATGACTTGTAGAGACGAGTGTTGTTCGCCATTTGGATTGGAAGAGCTTGGAAGGAATGCGCCTCCTTGGGCAGTGGAAGGGTGGTAGACTCCGGGAGCGAGATTTGAGTTGGGAAATGTCAAATCCGCGAAAAAATGTGGTGAGAATGCCCCCGGCTCGATGGTAGGTCCGGATGGTTGAGATAGTCTTGGGCTGCTTGGAAAGCTACTGGAGCAGGATAGGCTGTGAGTGTGGGCTGCTCGACTGGAGCTGGCTAGGCCATGGGAGTGGGCTGCTCGTCGGGAGCAGGCTGGGTCACGAGAACAGACTGCTCGGCAGGAGCAGGTTGGGCCGTGAGAGTGGGTTGTTCGACAGAAGCAGGCTGGACCACGGGAGTGGGCTGCTCGTCGGGAGCAGGCTGGGTCACGATAGCAGGCTGCTTGGAAGGAGCAGGCTGGGCCACGGGAGTGGGCTGCTTGACGGAAGCAGGCTGAACCACGGGAGTGGGCTGCTCGTCAGGAGCAGGCTGTGTCACGAGAGCAGGCTACTTGGCAGGAGCAAGCTGCTTAGTATGTGATGCATGCGAATGTGAGGCTTGGGCCCGGGCCCGTGCAAACTTTGGATGGCACGACTTGGGTCGTGGCCTTGGTGCAGTGAGCCTTGGATGGCACGGCTCGAGCCATGGTGAAAACACCATGGACCTCGCCACCGTGGTGGTTCCCATGGTGAAAACTCGTGGTGGTGGTGCTGCTCCACTTATTGTCGCATTTAGCCTCACGGATCTCCGCAATCCCATTTCTTGAACATTAGAATTTTCGCTTGTGGAATTTTCTAAATTTCTAACCATTATATTTTGCTTATACGTTTTATCAAAGAACCTTTGCAAGTAAAAAATTCTAATAATAAAAACGTATGAAAAATATTCAAATGGACTAGAAAATAAAGAAAAAACCTTTTTGTGCGAGAGTCTTCTACAAGTATCGATTTCAACTCTCAATGAAAGCACCAATTTGTGGATGCAAATTTCTTCCTCCTTGATCTTGGACAATTTTGCACCTACAAAACAATTAACACATTAGGTTAAGGCCAAGAGCCTTACGCGCCCATGATGAATGGGGGGGCTTTGGCCGAAGAACCTCCGATGCCAAAGTTAGAATTTTTCGAGAGAGAGTGTTTAGAGAATTTTGGTATTTTTGCCAAAGTGTTGGAATTGGCTTTTATGGTGAGAATGAGAGTATATTTATAGGGATAGGAGGTGGCTAGGGTTTTTTGGGTTTAATTTAGGTTTAATTAGGAGTTACAAAATTGATTATTTGTATAAATGGGGTAATAAAATGGAGAAAAGTGAAAAAGGTTAGGAAAAGGGAGGTGGTTGGCCTCTTAGTAGTTTTAGGTGTGAATGAGTGTTTTAATTGATAATTAAGAGATTGATTAGGTAATTAATCCCTTAATTAATCAATTTTTAGGGAACATGAAAGGAAAATATCATTTAGCTAATTGATTAGCTAAATAATGGAATACAAAATATATAGAATAAATTAGGTTTTAGGAATTACCTTATAGAAAGGATTTGATGAAATAGGCTTTGAATTGTTACCTATTTTGGGCACTTTTGACTTGGTTTAGAGATGATTACCCGCTGCTCGCGCGTAGGAATCTCAGTATGCCTTAAGGGTATTTTTGTCTTCTTTTACCCAAGAATCCACGTGTCGCCTTGCGATTATTTTTAGCTCCACAACCATTATCTGTCCAAGGCTTTTTAAGCCATCTCCAACCGAATGAGGGGTAAAGGGCCATGTTTAGCCATATAGCCTTGTAAGAAATTTTATTTTAATGAACAGTGTCATATCCTATTTTATACCATCTTCAACCAAGGGGATCATAGGCCAAATATAATCCTTTGACAAAAAATTCATCTCCAATCGAGGAGACCAAAAGGCTATAAGCCAAACATAACCTTCTCAATAAATTATTATTTTAATTGAATTAATATTGGTAATTAAATTAAACGACCATATTAAAATAAGGTTTTCAGACATATTTTAAGTGCCACCTGCCAAAATAACGAAGAAGGTGTGGTATTGTTGCACCTGCCACGAAGTCAAGCTTGACATTCTAACGTTGGAGGGCTGGCTGGAAATGGCCAGCCCGATGACCTATTTGTGGGTTTTAGCCCGATAGGGCCCATAAGCCATTTGACCTAGCCCTCGGTTGGAGACGAATTTCGTGTCATTCCAAGCTATTTTTAACCTTATGACCCTTTGATTGGAGATATAACCTTATTGCTCCAAAGAAGGCTCAAGAAACAACAGACCTAATGGTCGCTCGTGGAGGGTATTTTTGTCTTTCAGAAAAATCGAACATTCAAAATGTGCAGAAAATTGCAACGGTCCGTTAATCAAATGCTTCCCTCTGGGGAGGGAGGGAGGGAGAGAAACCCTAATTGGAAAAGAAAATCCATTTTTCTTTTGTGGGTTTGATTTGATACTTGAATTTTTCTATTTACTTATTATTTTGAATTGGCTTTTTAGTCAAAATGGTTTTTGAAATTTGCATAACACATAACTGTAATTCTCAAGATTTAGAATTAATAGTAGTGATCTCTGAGATTATCCACCATCCATTATTTTGGTAATTCTGTTAAAAAAACTTCGTTAAGTTGAAAGTATAATACATAACTTTAGATCCTGAGATTTGCATAACACATAATTTTGGTCCCTAGATTTGCATAATATATAACTTTAGTCTCTGAAATTGTCTACTATCCATCATTTTGATCATTCCGTTAAAAAGGTCAGGGACCACTTAATAGAGTTTTTTAATGGAATGACCAAAATACTGGATGATGAATAATCCCAACGACCACTACTATTGATTTTAAATCTCAAAAACTATTATGTGTAATGAAAATCTCGTAACCATTGTAACTAAAAAAAAAACCCAAATTTTAGAGCAGCAAGAGCTATATATTTAGTAAATAGAGAGAGGGAGAGGGAGAGAGAGAGAGAAACCCTAATCGGAAAAGAAAGTCCATTTTTCTTTTGTGAGTTTGATTCGATACTTGGATTTTTCTATTTACTTATTACTTTGAATTTTAGAGCAGCAGGAGCTATTTATTTAGTAAATAGTTGATTTGATAAGTTGTTTGTAAATTGCCTGCTCTCTAGTTTCTATTTATTTGTTATTGGGTGTTGGTGTTAAAGAATCAAGAGTTAATGGCCGCCGTAGATTTGAAGAAATCAGCAAAAACCCTAACAGCCGGTGATGAAAGTAAGATTACAAGTCGGACATCGGAAAATATGATCAAGCCTTGTCACTCCCACTTCTACAAATCCTAATCCCAGTTCCAATCCCAATATCCCAATCCCAATCCAGGAGGCTGATTGCCAACCCCAGCTTCCGCTCAGGTAAGTAAACCATCCCTTATTTCTCCACACCTTATACTACTTTCTCATTACCTTTCCTTTATAAAAACAATTCTGTTTAAAATTAGTCTATATGTTTTTGTAAATGTGTAGATATAGGATTATAGCGGAATTGTTTGCTCATGTGAACTGTTCCTTGAGATTGCTTCTTCTGCGTAAAAGGTCGCCTACTGTTCAAAATGTTTTTGCTCAGGTGAAAGTCATGGCACAAAGATAATGCCTAACCCTTCACAATATTCCTGTTTGATAGTGCATTTCTTTCATATGCTGGTTGGCGCCTAGCAGTGGTGGGTGTTGCTTTTCCACTTATAACCAAGTGTTCTTCTTTTCCTTTCCTTTCCTTTTTTCAGAAAGTTCTTGCACATGCATCCTACTTAACTGAAATTTGTACTTCCGGAAACCATAAAGATAGATAGTATTTTGGTGCAGGACTAGAAAACTCTATGCACCAATCCAGATATGAATATCACCTTGCTAGTTGATGTTGTAGAAACTCACTCTCAAGTATCTGACTTTATGGCTCTGCGCCAAGTTTTTAATTTTAGGCTTATTCATTTCTTTGCCCTGCATCCTGAGGTACGCCTACTATTTCTCAGAATATTTTCCCCACTTTTCCTTCTTCAATATGAAAGACTGCTGCAAGCTCCTTGATTGGTTCTAATAGGTATGTTTTAGCAAATGAAACTTGACTATATAAAACAGAAGATGTGGATCTCAACTGTATAGGACATGAATAATGCCTAAAAATGTTAATTTAGCTTCATTTGAGTGACATATGATAGTCTCGTGGTATATGAAATGTTAGCGATCAGATTGAGCTGGCTTCAACTTAGTGATTCTGCTTTGTAGGATCGGGATTAGTTATTTGGTGACACCTAAAAGATGAAACAGTTGCATGCCAGAAAGTTTGATTGAGTAATTTTCAGATGACTGCCCATTTTGTATAAATGTACAAAGAAAAGATTAAGTTTATTTCAACAAATTGATTATGTTTCCTCCTCTTGGGCATACCTCTTTGCATCCTGTATTTGATTAATCGGATAGGTAATATTCTATGTAATATTTGGGTGTTAAAAGATAAAAGAAATGAACTCATGCATTTTTATTTTTGAGATCAAGGCTTGTGATGTTCTAGATGCCATTTTGGTAGAGCCTTTTAGCCAAAGACAGCGTGTTGTTGTTGCTCAAACAGAAAAGACCCAACTCTTAGCATCTCCATCCCCCACACCATCTGATGGTGTTAGGAACAACAAAAATGGGCAATAAAGTATTTACTATTCAATCTTCCAATTTTAAGAGTAAATCGGAGCTAGATATCTAAAAATGGGAAGTAGAAGGAATCATGTTTTGAGTTTTGTATTATCAACCACACAGTACAGCTGAACCACCCACAATGCTCTATTGCTTCAAGTGTATCTGAAAGCCCTCATGTAAAGCTCACCTCATCTGCTGACAGTTTCAGGTACAACTACCTGCACTATTGACACCAAGGAGACCAATGCCCAGTTGTGACGCCGAGCATGAGACAATAAACAGCCAATCAACATCATGTTATACGCCTGCAAAAAGAATTCTAAACTTCTCGCACTCGGAAGGTGATAAGATTGCATTGGATTGTATGACAGATTAGTCAGACTACTACAAAGTTGTAAACCAAAACATCCCTAAGACTACAGAAACACTTTTGAGGATGAAAATGTTACTTTTTCTCTGGAACCACAAAAGGTATGTTATTTTAGAACTTTTCAATTATTCTAGTAAATTGGCATTGGCATACTTTAAATTTAGTTCTTAACTGTTTTCTTAAACTTGCATAGTCATAACTTTCTTTTCTAAAGGGTGTTGAATTGATTGACTTGGGGCAATTTTAAATTTTGTCAAGTGAAGTGTTTATTTCAAGGTTCATGATGAGATCAACTAGATTTACTGCATCAAAACTCTGGTATTTTTCCTCTGGTGTGTGTGTGTGTGTGTATTCATTTATCTTAAGAAAGTTAATACTATCCATCAATTCTGCATGATATGACACCAGGAAATATAATGATGTTACTTTTGTCCAAGTAGATATTGTTTATGAGAACTTAAATGTGCAATCCCTTTTTTTGTACTTTTTACCTGTTACATTATTTGAACTTAATTCTGTCTCCCACTAACGTGGAGCCTATAGGTCAAGCAGATAATTGGTTACGCTGATAAGGATTCCAAGAGGAATCAAAACAGTGCATCACTGTGCCATCAAATCTCTGCTTGCATATGATGTGGTTACTATAGTTCACGGGAACTTTAAACTGGTCCCTAATCACAAATTGTGCACAAGATATTTATGACTTATGAGTAGCTTGGATATTGTTAAAAGAAGTGGGTGTCAATGAGTTAAACTCTTACTTTTTTTTTTTTGTTGCATTATCTAAACTAGGTGTTTCATGACTTGACCTTTTTTTTTTTTCTCTTTTCAGGAGAAGTCAAAGAACATATTGATCTTCTTAAAAGGTATGTTCCAAATTTGTTCCATATGGAGTTGTATTCTAGTGGAGATATTGTGCACGAGTAATCTTCATTTTTATTTCGTTAATTTGTCAGTAACATCCTTACACATGAAGAGATGTCTGGTATGTGATTAGAAGATTTGATAAGATCAATGTTGTTAGGCCTTTTCCAGTGACATCAGTTTCTCATAAGAATATCAAAATTTTTGTAAAAAATACCGTGAGAAATATCCTTCTCGTGTCCCCCAAAGGAAGGTTCTTATGTGTTGCCCACTATTCCCCCTGCGGTGGGGAATGATCTTTCTGGCCCATGGTGTGCGCAAAACCTTATAACACAAGGGAGGAGCACATGATAGGTTTTTCTTTTTAATGTTAATGTTGGGCAGGAGCACCCACGCACTGTTAAGAGAATCTCAAATTGGTTAGGAACGTTGAATTTGTTTTTACTACAGTGTATTATTCGATTGAAGGTTATGTAGGGGAAATCTCAGGTTTAACCCTTAATAATAAAGCATTTCTAGGATATCTTGTTCAGGTGTGGTCATATATCTTGTTCAAATTTGGTATGTCTTGTTCAGTTTTATGAGGGAAAAATTATATCAAGAAGTTCCTGATTATCCTTTGTAGATTACAAGTTTATTTGTTGTGAAGAGACCATATTCACATTCCAAATTACTTTTTCCACACTTTTTTATTTTTTTAATATTTTTTGATATTCTACACCTGACTAACACTTGATAGAAAATATTTAAAAAAATTAAAAGAGTGTGGAAGACGTAATTTGCGATGTGTGAATATAATTTTTATTTTTGTATTATGGATATTTGTTTTTCATCATCTTATTCAAAAGCTTGTCACGACGATTTTCTTTCACACTGTTTTTTCATTTTAGAAGTTGGAAGCACATCAGTTGTCTGTCAAATTGATATTTTTTTGTCTGATGATAATGACGTGCAGAATCAAGAAGGTGGCTGATTCAAAGTCAGTTGTGTCAAAGTTTGAGGAGAAGAGGATACAAGTGTACAAGTGACTGTGACAAGATTCGTACAACCGGAATTAGATCCTCTTCGGATCTCCTCACCGAGGATCCGGATAATCAATTAATACCAACCGTTCATCAAAGATCGTGCAGTCATAATTGAATGTTTTTTATATTTTAAAAAAAGTAAAGTAATCTCATTTTGCGTGAAAATTTTAATTTTCTTTTTTTATGGCCGTGCGGTATTTTAATGAACGGTTGTTATTAATTGATCTTCGGGATCCCAATGAGAGAATCCAAAGATGATCTAATTCCTTTAGATATATAAAAGAATAAAATTGTGATCGTACGTTTTTTGATGAACCGTTGTTATTAATTGATTCCGGGGATCCTCAATGAGGAAATTTGGAGAGGATGTAATTCCCGATCAACCAATTGAATTGATACAGCGGCCCTGCAATGCAATATATATATATATATATATATATATATATATATTTATTTATTTATTTATTTATTTGTTGACAAAAAAATTATGAATTTATTCGACAACTTGCAAAAAAATATGAACTTATTCGACAACTTAATTCATTCACATGAGATGGGCAGGCATGGTCATTCACCTTTAGATTATGAACGGTGAAGAAAAATTAATGTGCTTTAGAGCCTTAATATCAAATTCAAAGGAGGTGATCACAAATCATTGATTATCCAGAGCCCATGATTTCATCGGTTTTAAACTCATGACCTCTTTTAATATAAACATGACTAAGAATACACGTTACACATTGTTAAGAAAACTCACGAACATTATTAATACACTATTCCACTAGAATAAGTATTAATTCAAGAAACAAAATACAATTTATAATGTACTTACTTATTGACTGTATATTTGTATAGATAGGTATTTGTTCACACGTGTGATGACAATATTTGTATTGAGTTCGATATTAAGTTTGTGATTCTTGTGACTTGGGTGGGTGGATCGACAACTAATTATAAAGTATTTTTGTAAATATTCTATCATTTGTATAAAAAAAGAAAAGACAAATTTTATGCGTGTCTTTCATATGGTATAGTAAATGTATGTGCTTAATATATAGTTGTTTATGTATCTATATATAAAAAACTTATAATGCAAATTAAGCAAATATTCTTATGATAGTTGTTTATGCATCTTTAAAAAAAAATTATAATGTAATTTAAGCAAATATTTTTAGGAATACAACGATATATTGGCGCTTAAGAGTAATGAGATAAATTGGTATCAAAGTTATTAGCCATGAAACTCAAATATAAGACTCTTTTACTTACGTGTGAAGAATAATACCACTAATTAATGGCAATTGAGTAATTAGCTAGAAAAAAAAACTTTTTAAAGGTGATATGAATAAATTTTGTAATAAGGCGAGACATACGAGGTCAAGTTCAACTTGTAAGCGAGACATATGGCATGAAGTTCAAATTATTTAGAAATCTTAAATGTCATAAAAAAAAATTTATTATTGGTCTGATTTCTATAAAAATTAAGAAATTTAGAATAACAATGATGGAGATTAGTTGAAAGAATACATAGACTAAAATCCACTTGTATACCTTATTTGCATCTCAATGGAAACTGTACTTTTAAGAAAAAATTAAACCAAAATCTAAAATAAGTCTAAATTTAAATTTGTCCACCATTTGGAAAAGAATGTATATAAACCTTTGGGTTTATTTTCTTTTTCTTTTTCCTTTAGCCGACGCGGGCTGGAGTGTACATCCCATCAGAAAACGAGGTGATAATCAAACCCTATCAGGAACGCACCACGTGGCAAGAGAGGTGGGTTGGTGACCGTCGGATGTTGAGGAGAGGCGAGAGAGGGCTTTTATAGCGAGAGAGAAAACCTAACCATAGCGCCGTCTGAGGTGAAGGCTCTGGATTCGTGTTCTTTTTATCTTCCTATCCCGAACGCACAAACCCTAGGGAGGCCAAAACCCCCAAATCCCCCAAATCCCCCAACGCCAAGGTGAAGACTTTCTCACTCGCTCTCTCTCTTGTCGTCAATCCTTTTATTTTATTGATGGAATCTGTTCCTGTTTCTGTTTTGTTTACTGGAATAGGTCGTTTGTTTTATTTCTCTTGTGCTTGTTTGCTGGTTAATCAAGTGATTGAGGATGGTTTATTGAGCAGTGCACCCATTGTATTGTGTTTGTTTTTGTTTGTAATTTGTTGCTGTTTGCGTCGTTGAAGCTTGTTCGTTGGTGGGTAAAGCTAAATCAATCATTTCTGGTGCAAATTTTGTAGTTTTGGATTTCTAGTTTTGATCGTGTGGACAGCCAAAGAGTACGTTTGAAATGTTTACTCGATGGGATTCCGAATGCATCTGCCACAGCTGTGCACTTATTGTTATGTCGTCATTGGTGTCACTGTATAAGTAGAAGCGTCTTCGGGCGAATGGGTGTGATAGTGCCCAATTATGAATTCTGAACGTGAACGGGGTTTTACTTCGACAGTGTCACCAGTATTACTTTGTCAAATTTGGTAGACTTGTTTGTATTCAGTCGTATAGGTCTATATATATATATATATACACATATATTCTCTTGCTTACTTGTCATTGTGGCCTTATGCCTTTAAACCGCTTGCTTATTCCCATTTCATTATATGTCTCCTAACATGGTTAACTTGTTCTCCCATCTTTTAAAGAAGATAAACTGAACTTTGAAGATTTTTTTTAATGTTTATAGGATTTGGAAGATGTTTTAAACTCAATTATTCAGTGTGCCAAGTTGTATAATTGATGCGACTTTTCTTTGGTTGCATGTTGTCACCTCATATAGTGTTTTTATTGAAGTTTCTATAATTCATGCTTATCTTTCTTAATACAATATGAGATTGAAGAAACAAGATAACCGAAAGTGGAAATGAATTGTTCATTATTTGACACTTGTAAAACAAAAGGCTTTGTGAGCTGGAGGTTTTACTGCTTAAAACTTAGATTAACAATAATGTAATTAAAGATGCAATGTTTTGTCTCTTGAAACTTTTTGTTCATGTCTCAATTAAAACTCATGACTTCATCTCATTATACACTTTATGCAGATGAATAGGGAGAAGCTTATGAAGATGGCTGGTGCGGTTCGCACTGGTGGGAAGGGCAGCGTGAGAAGGTGAGTTAACTCTCACTTTGAAAGTCCTCTGGTCCACCAATCTAATTCAGAGTCCGAATCTTCAAGTGCTTGCTTTAATGATTATGTGTTGGATATTCTTGTGGTTGATGATTTATGTGATGCGGTTACCCTGATGGTATGTTGAGTAAATTGTTGTTTTACTATGTTTTGCTTTTCTTAAGAGGATCTTCATTTGGCGTTTGATCGACTTCTTAGTGCAATCACTTTATAATAAAAATTACTGCCTGTTTGGCAATAGTTTCAGTATAAAACATAGTCATCAGTGGTTTTGTAGTTATCTCACTTCTGTTGCATTATCTTCCTGTTGTCTGTATGTGATTTTGCTTATTAATTTATTCTCTTAACTTCAGGAAGAAGAAGGCTGTTCACAAGACAACCACCACAGATGACAAAAGGCTTCAGAGCACCCTTAAGAGAATAGGGGTGAATGCTATACCTGCTATCGAGGAAGTTAACATATTTAAGGATGACGTAGTTATCCAGTTCATAAACCCCAAAGGTGAAGCCAGCCCTAAAAAACTCTGGTCCTGTATATTATCAGTTTGTTTCAAGTTTTTTCCCCCTAATAGTTGATGATTTTCCTTGTACGTTTCAGTTCAAGCTTCAATTGCTGCCAACACTTGGGTTGTTAGTGGCTCTCCTCAAACAAAGAGTATGCTACTATTTCTTTTGAGTTTTTTTGAGTTTGAAATTTGTTTAGAATATCAGACCATCTGGCAAAACAACACACTGCTTGAGTTTTAAAATATCAAACATATTTTCATTTGTGTGGCTGTGCTCTGACATCATGATGCATTTGGCTTTTGATGGCCAATTCTGTTGTTGTTTATACCTTTGATTGTCTTTTTTTAGATTTTAGACATATTTTCATGTAACTTGACATATAATCTTGATTGTAGAGTTGCAAGATATTCTTCCCAGTATTATCAGCCACTTGGGTAAGTGTGCTTGTAAACCTTTTTATTTTGTTCTTGACAGAGAGTTGTCAAATTCTTTTTCACACCTTTGATTATTTTCAGGGCCAGATAACTTGGACAATTTGAAGAAGTTGGCTGAGCAGTTCCAGAAGCAAGCACCTAGTGCTGGTGGAGCCGCTGCACAAGAGGACGATGATGATGAGGTTCCCGAGCTTGTGGCTGGGGAAACATTTGAAGCCGCTGCAGAGGAGAAGAACAAGGAGGAGAATCAAGCTTCTTAGGGAATTTTAAGGGGATTTTGTGTCATTTTATATACTTTTGACGCCGGGGAAGTTTTTTATTTTGTTTTTGTTTTTACCTTGTCATGTCTGACCATGTTTGATGGATTCTCCTTATGATACATTGGGTAGTAAGTCACTCTGTCTTTTGGTTAAAATTTAGTTTTACTATTTCTTAATTTTTGGTCAATTATTGTGCTTAATTGTGTTGAAATTGGATGATCCTTGTTAAAATAACGAAACATGCAACAGAGTCTGCGAGGATGATCATGATATGCAAAAGCCTTCATCAGTAACCAAAAGCACCTTTAGCGGTTTTGCATCGAACAATTGATGAATCTGCATCTAGCAATGCTTTCATCATTACGCTCTCCGACTTTAGAAGGCAAATAGCACACCTCAACAGTTGGGAGTCGTCTATCAGTTGGCAGTTTGAGTGTAGGGCTGGTTTGGTATGGGATATTGAACTGAAAATGGCATGTCAAATCCTGAATCGAAAACTTTGGGGATGGGAATCCGACGACCGATCCCAAACTGAAATTTTGAGATTCCCAAAATCAAACCTGCATTAAAATTAAAATCATCTAGATTGAAATTGAAATCATCCGAACATGCATTAAAAACTCAAATTGAAATCAAGGACAAAGTGACAGTGAATCGGTGAACATTGATGGTCGAGAGAGACAAAGTGAAGAGATAGTTAAACGCACCTGCATCCTCCTCTTGACCCGAGCCCCCAATTCGAAACCCTAACCTTAATTCAATACCCCACACACAGAGACTGGAGAGAATCAATAATGGGGGTAAAGTTGTGAGATGTGGTGGTGGCCAGAGTGGAGAGAGTTCTTCGGAGTGAGATTGTGAGATGGTGGGTGGCTGCTGAGCTTCGAATTCGAGAAGGAGAGACATAAAGAGTATGAGACTAAGTGAACTTAAGGTTTGAAGGTCTGAGCCCTTCAAACGAAGCCAAAATCTTGGTCGAGATCGACGATGTTATTAGATGAGTTGCTGCCATTCCTGCAACGTGTTTTTCAGCAAGGGATGAGAAGTCGAAAGAGAGAGAGAAAGAGAGAGAGAGAGAGATCAGAGAGGTCAGTCAAGAAAGAGAGGTGAGTCACTTGTGTGATGTGGCCGGATTTGAAGATGGCAAATAAGGAGGACGAGAGAAATCGGCGAAGGATGAGAAAGCAGGGTGAGATGAGGTCGAAAGAGAGACGGTTTTATTTGGATTCAACGATTGAGATTAAATCTCAACCAAATTTGATGACTGTTACAATCCCAAATATTCGGGATCGGTTCAGGATAAAATGAGAGAGTGAGGGCTTCATCCCCACCACCGATGCACTCACACATGTTTGAGAAAGATCGAGAATAAAATTTTGGGATCGATTCAAGATTGGGTACCGAAATTTTTGGAATTTTTTATTTGAGATTTTTTCGATTTGGTTTTAGAATTTTTCTGGTTCGATTTGGAATTTTTGGTATTTTTTTTCCAACCTAGAGTATCTGTAAGTGCATGTGTCGGTATCTTTCTCAAATCTTTCATTTTATTCTCTATGCGAGTACACGTATCATCTCCATCGTCCACCGTGAAAACCGCCCCAATGGTTCCCACTATCTCCCTGTCAAAACTTATCAAGACAAACCCTTGTTTCTGTGTCCTCACACGGCAAAGGTTGCGAAAAATCACCGCAAAATCAGATCCAAATTGGTTGTCTACTGAACTCAGGTAATGTTACAGGCCCACCGGAAAGCGAGAAGCTTGTATTGTCGCCCAAGTCCACTGCGTGTTGTGCCTGCTTGCCTGCCAATGTCGTGGGTACTCCAGTGTCTCAATTTCTTTTTGTAACACTGTTAAACAACATATTCTGGAGTGCCGTGGGTACTCCAGTGTCTTAATTTCCACGACTACATGTATCACAAAGAAAATATTTGTTAGGCTATATTGGATTAATAGTCCCGTGATGACAGGATAATCAGATGATAGTTTCATGATGAAAAAATTCGAATTTAAACCCTCGTGGTAAACTTCATTAGGATTCAAACTCAAATCAACATTTCCGTCAATTCTCCGTTAACTCATTCAGCCTTTATAACCAAAAAGAACAAAAAAAAAACTCATTCATCCAAGACTGAATTTTTTGCTTCATGCTTCGATTCCATTCAAAGCTCTTTTGCCCATAAGAGAAACTAGATTTAGTTTTTTTTTTTATAGGGGTGTGCTATCCACATACCCTTTTTTACTTCTCATACACCCCTTGTTAATTTCTGTCCGTTGATCTTCTTCAATTCATCCGATCTGACGGCCGAAAACCAAAAAATTGTGAGAGAATATCACACCCCTTTTTATATATATGCAGCACTAAAAAAAACTCATTTCGTTAACTTTTCTGTTAACCCACCCCCGTCTTTTTCCCAGATGGAAGAACTGAAATCTAATCCCAAGAACCAACCAGCCAACAAAAACCAATCGATGGTTCGACAAATTCGTTGAGAATCGCACACCTATATATCAAGCAAAATAAAAGCCAAGAAACATGAAAAAAGGAGCATAAATCAATGGTTTGTTTCTGAGATTTGTTTCTGTGACTGTTAAATCCCCCTTATTTCATCTTGGACCTCCTTGTTGAGGATTGCACGTAATCTTTGTTTGGGGTTTGATTGTTTTGTACCGCCAGGTATGGGGCTGTTTTGGCTCTACCTTTGATGAACACTATCGTTTTATCTATAATAAAAACAACAAGGGGAAACTGAATAGAGAGAGAGGAGGAGGCAGGCCGGAAGTCTGGAGAAAAAATGAGAGAGAGAGAGATGGGATGCAGAGAAGCAGGCGGGCAGAGGTAGAACCCAAGTGGGTGATAAGCTATCCCGAAAAAAGCCAAGGGGAGAGGTGTGGGAATGTTAAGTACATAAATGTTAATTTTGGACTTGAATTCTAATGGATCATAAATGTTAATTTTGGACTTGAATTCTAATGGATTTCATCACGAGTATTTAAATCAGAATTTTTTTACCACGGAAGTTATCCTGAGATTACTCTATTAGTACGAGGACCATTAATCCAATTTAGCCTATTTGTTTTAGATGACGGCGAAGGAGAACTAACAACATCAGTTATGACGTTTGTATGGTGAATTAATGTCGTATATGGTATGCGGACGGTTAATCCCCAATGTTTTAAAACAAATGATTTATAGAAAATTAAGCAACCCCAACCAGTTCGAAGAACCGCGCATGAAATTGACATGATTGATATTATAAACCCAGGCAAAAAAAGGGTAAAACTAAAACCTTGAGGAAAATAAAAACACATGTAGAAGCTAATTACCGGAGATGAGCCAGCTCTCGTTAATTTGCTCATCTCCAAATTACAAAACACGTCTTGCTAATTGCTAATGTGCTGCCTGCATTTTCTAGTTGTGGGACTGGTTGTGGTTGGCAATGGAAAGGGCCTTGTGAAGATTTCTGAAAGCTTTCTCGTAGCGCAAGAATCCCATGAACCAGAAGTCGAAATCATCGTGGGTAACTATTTCAATGTACTTCTGTTGTGGTTTGTTGACATTCTCGCTTTGGTTCACTGTTTTGATCTTCCTTATTGGTATCCGAACTTTGTAATGCGTTCTGAGGAGTTGCAGTTGTCCAGCAGCAGCAGGACCAGAAGCAGGAGGAGAAGGGAGAGTGATGGGTCTTTCGCTGCAAAAAGCAAGCTTTTGGGTAGAAATGAAAAGGAGGCCAGGAATGGGACCGGCGGTGGTGGATAGGTAGCATTGGGAGGCCTTCAAGAGCTCTTCTCCTTGGCTGACACCGAATATCTGTTTAAAAATATTGGCCCTCCCACCCTCTTGAATGATTCTTGCCCCCAAACTCAACTTGCCCTTCACTGTTTCTGACAGCTTGTGCCCAAGTTTCACTGCAATTCGAATTCCAATTTATTCACATATGCAAGTATAAATATATATATATATATATATATATATCATCTATGATTGATTCTATAGCTTAATTAGGTTGTATTAGGAGGACAGGAATTAATAAGACCGACTGACTCTCACCGTGGTCGCGTATCCTGTATGCGAAACTGCTACTTTTCTTCCCTAATTTTTTGTTGAGGCCCTTCCTCGAATCATCTCCATCTGTACTTGCAAAAATATATACATTAACTACACTTGCAAAACAAACAAGCATACAGTAGAGAGACGAAGAGAGAGGGGGACGTACAGGTGGAGGTGGTTTTGAAGGAGGAAGATGAGTGTGCAGAAGAAGAAGGACTATGGCATAAGCTGATAGGTTCAGATAAAGAAGATGCCTGCCTTTGGCTTTGGCTTTGCCTTTCTGGTGTTGTATCACTATCATAATCATACGAGTGCATCATGTACGGACTGCAACTGGCAACAAATTGATCTGCAAATTTCTCATTCATTTCCACTTTCTAAACTTTCTGAACTCTGAAAGATGTTGTAAGCGTGTATAGATCTGCCTGCGTGCCTGCGTGCCTGCAGCCTCCTCTCCTTAAAAGATGGTGCTTCATGTGCTAATTTATCACCGTCTTTATAATTGTATCTGGCAATTCAATAGCATCAATATTATATTATATTATATTAGAAGAATTGCTCTTATTATATTATATTATATTCAAGCGACAAGCATCAAGCACCCACCACAAGGAAGGAAGTTTCAAAGATTCTGCTCGTACATAATATTATATGGCGTTGTTGACTATATATCGAAGAACCTTGTTACCCTATTTTGAATGAAACATCCTTCTAGAACACGTCGCAATTTCATGGCAATTGCCAGTTGCCTGCCTAGGCCCAGGCCCAGGCCCATCTTGGAAAATTGCAAGAGGAAAAACTAGAGTCAACAAAGGGTGGCTGTGGCTCAAGGTCAAGATAAAAGGACATTCAACTCAATTCAACAATAAGACAATTTGGATAAACCCCTAAAAGGAGGAGGAGGGCTACTCCTTCCCCCTTTCCATTAGTTGTGTACTTGTGTGCCTTTGTCTAGGTTTCACAACAAACTAACTATAAATTACAATAAAGAGCGTGTATGCTGCTGTCTGTGCTGTGCTAGAATTGCCTCCACCATATCCATGTGAGTCCAAGACTGCCCTTAACACCAGACTGCCAGTTCGGAATAGTGGCGGAAGGAGGATGAGGTAATTCGCTTGGCACCATTTCATTTGAGTTTTTGAGATTTTATTAGTGATTTGATTGGAAGGAATTGAATTGAATTGAATTTCCTAATGACAGACTAACCATGCCAGCGTTGTCTATTCAATAGCCAATATTTCTCCACCCTCCTATTGTCCTTGCCCAATGGCCCGACGGGATAAGATAAGGACCCTCACCAAACACGACAATGGCAATGGCACTGCCATCCCTTTTATTTTATTTTATTTATTTTTTTGTTTCTTTTCAATAAACAATATTATCTACACTAAGGTTAGTGGGGAAGTGGATTAAACCTCACAATGGCTAGCAATTTGGTTCAAATTTGCTTTGACAAGAATCGAACATAATGTCTCACATTTACAAGTAAAACGGAATACTATTAGACCGTAGTACTAAACAACGAATTCATCATCTTATTTACAAAAACAATAAAAACAATTCAAATTAGGATAACTCTTAAACTAAGCGAATGAGGTTTCTTAATCCAAAATGGATTATTCATAACTTTGCCAAATATTTTGTCAATGATGTGATTTTGACGCCTCTACACAAAATGCTCATCGTTTCTTTCAAATTACCACATTACACAAAAGGATTAAACCTGTAAAACAAGTCGAATAACACGACAAGGTTAGGAAAAAAAAAAGACAAACATGTATGTCAAGATGCACATTAGTTTGAGAAGTGAGAGCTAGGCAAGCCAACGTATAATCCTAAAACAAAGCAGCACGAGCAGTAGGCAGAGAGGAATCATGTCATATCATAGTTGGAGAAGACAAGCTCATATTAGAAAAATTGTCACCAACAAAATTTCATTCGCGATAATGTGACAGGCGTAGAAAGGTAAATGTAAAATTTGTTGCCCCACGTAAGGAAATAAATATACAAAATAATCTAACGAAGGCCAAATTTGTGTACAAGCAAAATGATCATGATGCATGCAAAGGGATCATCTTCGGATTCCTTCCACATAATCCTCCTCATCAAACAATCCAGACTTTTGAAATTTGATCCAACAGTTAAAGTTAGTATAACTTTTAGAGTGAGCTTGTTTTTGTAGCCGTCAGATCAAATTTTAAGGATCTCGATTGTTTAATATGCAGAATTAGGTGGTCCATTAAGTAGTGTTCAGGGTTGTCCATGATACACTTGAAGCCAAAAAAAAAAAGCTTGGAAATGTCCTTAAGAGATCCTTCGAATGTCTCGTATGGGACCCAAGAGTGCCCACCAATGTTTGGTAAAATGCTCACTCGATAGATCACTCGGCGGCAAGCATCTACAAAACTCGGTAGGATTCGCTTGGCATTTGTTAACATGCTCCCTATGAAGCTTTGTAGCATAGCTGATCATATGACTACATGTCAACTAATTGTTTGAGTGTTGTGCGCGCTGTTTCCATTTAAAAAAAAAAAGTTGAATCTTTTATATTAAGTTGAGAGTTGAGACCCCGAAATTAGAAATCCATATCTGTCACTGCGTGTTTGCGATCTTGCAGACGATGTATGATCTCTTTCTCAATCTCACTGGTTTGATTTATTTTTCTTTTTTAATCGGTACACACATGTGTATAGTATACGCGCGCCCAACTAGGATCTTTTCCTAAACTATTCTCTATTCCTAAGGATAATGACATGGACCCGTAATTTTAGCCACATAATTTTATTTGTAGAACCAAAACTAAATAAAGCAGCACTCTGGGTCTCAGTGGCCATATCTGCCAATTATTTCGTGTTGTTTGGCTAATCTGTCTAGTATTCAACACTCAGGAATAATAATGGTTCAGTTTGAGAACGAAAAATGCTATATTTATCTCCACAACTATGAAAATTAATCATATTTATCCGCAAATTAACGATCAGGGATTATTCATAACAATACTCATTAGGTAACGGATTTCCCATCAATTAACGGTTATATCCATCTTCATCAATACAAAAATATATTCGTTCAGTTGACGCGTAATAAATTAGTAGATATTAATTTCGTTATTAAACATTTAATGTATAAAATGATTCAATGAACGAATCTTGTGGAGTATAAAAATTAAAATATTAAATTTAAATCATTAACGATGTCGGTTGATATTTTATATCTCTCATAAGAACCATTAAATTATCTTTGATTTTGATTCAAAACTTTTTAACTTTCTCACAAACCACTCAAACAATGCAACTTTTGTATTCTCAACTAATGAGTTCGGTGAATAATGAATACACACACACACACTATATATATATATATATATATTATCGTTCGATTATATTATATAGGGTTTTTATCATAAAGATTTTTTAAATCAATCCACCCTATCAAGATAGTCATTGAAATTGAAATGTAATTTCTGAAAATGAGTGTCACAAATCAATAGTCTTTCTGTCACATATATGTCAAAATTTTTGTTATGTGCTGATATGACACATAACTAAGACCTACAAGTTTATTTAAATTTGTCATGGATTAAAAATGTTTAAAAAAAATTTTAAAAAATTATTTTATATGATTAAAAATCCTAAAAAGGGAAAAAAAGAAAAAAGAAGGAGAAGATGCATTATCTTCTTCCCGAACTGAACTTGCAGCCCGTGAATCCCAGAATATCAGAGCTTATATTCTGCAAAGGTAGATGAGTTATTGTTTGGACCAAATTTACATCATCGGTCCGTGCAATCAAGATCGTTGAGTAAGTATAGTTCTTAACCGTCGGATTGAAAAGTGAAGATATTTTTGTTATTATTAAAAGATAATATTATGTTTTTTGTCATAGTAATTATTTTTTAATTTGGATTATCTTAGCTTTATATCTTCGAACAAGTATACAGTTCGAGTGAACTTGGGATTATTGCTATCAGATTGGAGAAACTTGGTAGATAAGGTTTGAAAAGCCATGGTGCATGTACGGATGGTTTATGGAGAAGCCTAGATAGGCTTGGCTTTTGGTGGTGATGTGATAAGTCTAAGATTTAATAGTCTTGGATAATGATGACAAGCCTAGGTAGGCTAGGCTATGATGATAAGACTTTTATTTGGATAGGTTTTTGTGAGGTTTGGAAAATCGTGAACATCTATACCAAGGATATGCCTTGGTCTCTCATGCGGATTAATTTCAGTTCCGCGGAAAAGAATTGCAGTTGGACTCTACAAGCACCATCAGGCTGTGCTAGGTAGATATCCAACGCTATAAATACATGAAGGCTACGCAACATTCAGGGACCTCCAACTTAACACACAAACTGTCATGCGCAAACCTTCGTTTTACGCGAAACCTCTCAACAACCTTGAGATTTTTATTTTCCTTTTTCGCCAACACATCTTCTTGAGATTTTTATTTTCCTTTTTTGCCAACACATCTTCAGTTTGAATAAACAGTATTGTGAATGCAATCGGTGAACATCTTCAGTTTGGATAAACATCACTGTTGTCGTAGAATCAGCCGATCGTGAAGCACCTTCAGTTTGGATAAACAGCACTGCGACGGGGCCGACTGGTTATCTATCCAAGTCTTGGTCGAGAAGGATTTGGGAATCCTTATTGGCAGAGGTCATCTCATTAGCCTTCTTGGCGAAGTGAAGTGTTACAAGTTACTACATTCGGCATATTGAAAGCCGAATTTGATATTGAACTTCGCAGAACTAGCAGCCTTGTCTTCAGGCTCAAGAATTCGAAGGTCGAGATGTGTTCCTTCCTCGGCCGCAGTCGCAAGATCAAGAAGTCAGCAACGCACCCAACGTAACATCAACAAATTTTACACCTCGCCCAAGCTCGGCCAACGAATTGGCATGCCTGCATACAACCGAAGGACGTAGTTAGCTCATTAGTTACTCGACCTACGCGCCATGTAGGTTGGTAGTTTTTAGGGTCAACAGTTACAGAAAAATTAAACAAGAAAAAAGATACATATACTAATAGATTAATTATAAGGATAAGAAGAAAACAAGATGGAGATGATCCCCACCCTTTCATCCCCGGCTCTGACTACACCGGCAGTTTAATTTGAAACAAGGGATTTATGTCAAACGGCAGTTTAAAATATGCGTGCCTGTGCTTAATTTGAAACAAGGAAAGGCAATTTTTAACTCTTCTGTTATAATTTCCCATGGTTTCCTACTACTACTATTATTATTATTATTAACCTTTTTGGGTATGTTTGGATGAGAGTTTTATAAAATTCAAGGGATTTATGTCAAACTAAAAAAAACTGAACTATAAATGTAGCATAGAGGCATTAAATAAAGATGGCATTATCCACATCCATTCACCTCTCACCACTCATTCAACCTTTATTAATTTCTATAATTTGATTTTCTTCAATTCATTCGATATGACAATTAAAAATTGTGAGAAATGTAGAAGATAAAAAAAATGTGTGTGAAGAGTACCATCCTTAAACAAACCAACCATGAGCATTACAAAAGTATGCCAGTGAGATTTGCAAAACTCTAATTGGGAGGTGTCATTTACAAAACCCTTCCATATGCTTTTATAACCCTCATGCAGGGTTTCTCTAATCCCTTCCACACATTATTTTATGGTCAATTTCTTCATAACTTGACATCAATCCTTTGAATCTTGTAAAACCCTCGTCCAAACATACCCTTGATAAAGAACAAAACATGGGCAAAACAACAATTTTGGACCGTATAAGACAATACTCTTGTTCAACCAATCTTTATTTATTAACATATTTTTATTGTGTAAATGTGAAATTAAAGATTATTTAGTCATCTATATATATCAAATCAACAATTTTAATAAGAATTAACATCCTTATATTGAATGTTCTATTTATTTAATGCTGGCAGTTATATATGTAAATATTAGTAAAGTGTAAATAATAGTCTTTTGTCGCATATGTAATACCAATTGTAACTCATATATATATTCTACTCTAGAGATTAATGAATATACAAGAAATTCCCCATATATTGTTTTTATGTATTTTTGGTATTTAGCATGTTGAATTCAACTTTTAAAACATATGAATGACTAAAGGGCTAGTTAATGACTAAAGGGCTAGTTTGTTATTATTGTGCTTTAAAAAAAAACTATTTTTCTTTAAGAATAAATAGCTGTAAAATAAAGTTGTTAATTTTTTTTTGTAAAGTGAACTTTTATATAAAACTGATGTGAATATATTAAATGATTAAAAATTATATGATATTAAATATAATAATTGCCAAAGAAAATAATGTCAGGGCAAAAATTGTAATTTTGTAAAATATATGGGGCTATACTTGCCATTTGAAAACGTTGTTCACTATGCTCTAAAGAAACACTTTTTTCAGAAGCATGGTAAACTCTACTTATGTTTT